AAGCAGGAGACCCTATACCAGGGGTGGGTTCTAAATTTTTTTACTACCAGTTCTGTGGGTGTGGCTTATTTTGTGAGTGTGGCTTGGAGGTCATGTGACTAGGTGGGCGTGGCTAGCTGGTCAGAGTCATTTCTGGAAGGTCCTCGCACTTATGACCAGTCCTTGCACTTACGACCTGACTCATTTGTTTGCTTTTAACACTGATCAGCTGTAGGACGGCCCTTTGAAGCCCCGCGGCAAGAGTTCAAACAGTTTTTTTCCCTCTAGTCATCAGCTGGGACTCAGGAGGCAGCAATAGATTGGGGGTGGGACCAAATAAAAGGTAAGAATAATGTGGGGGGGAGGGCGGGGGAGAGAACCGGTTCGGTGACATCATATCGTCACCGCTACCGGTTCGGCCGAACCGGACCAAACCGGGAGGAACCCACCACTGCCCTATAGCATTTCAACAAATGACTGTACAATCTCTACTGGAAGTCTTTCAATAATGGAGCACCTACAACTTCTGAAGGAAAGCCATTCCACTGATTAATTGGTCTCATTGTCAGGAAAGTTCCCTTTAGTTCTAGGTTTGATCTCTCCTCTTATCCATTTTCCCAAAGGTGCTTTCTTTCAGAAGGCAACCGGATTTTCTTGTTTTGCTCGAAGACATTTCACTTCTCATCCAAGAACCGAAGAAGCTTGGTCAAGCTATTTTCCAAAGCACCCAAAGGCCGGACAAGGAAAATGGATGGAAACTGATCAAGGAGAGATTCAACTTGGAAATAAGGAGACATTTTCTGACAGTGAGAGCAATCAACCAATGGAACTGCTTGCGTCCGGAACAGGGGTGTGTTCTACTTACCTTTACTACCAGTTCACAATAAGAGCACACATGCACATGCACAGATCATCCATAATGACATATGGGTGGGTGGGCGGAGCCTTCCACTGTTTTTACTACTGGTTTGCAAGAACTGGACCGAACCAGGAGCAACCCATCACTGCTCCGGAAGTTGTTGAAGCTTTCAAGAAGAGACTGGACTGTCATTTGTCAGAAATGGTGTAGGGTCTCCTGCTTTGGGCGGTGGGGGAGGGTGGTTGGACCAGAAGACCTGCAAAGTCCCATCCAACTCTATTAATCTGTTAATAAGAAAGTCCAGTTGTCTTTTAAGAGAAAGCATCTTGACCTGGATGATTGGATGATTGATAATCTCCATAGACACTCTTATCAATATGTTAAGCCAATGGAGTGTCAGCCCCACTTCGCCGGGACTGTCATTCCGGAGGGGATGAGACAAACAAAGCATGGCACCCTCATTCTGGCTCTAACGCTCTTGCCTTAACGCCACTTGCTTCCTCTTCTGACCACTCTTCTCAGGGTCTTCATTTCTTCCAGCACTGTAGGATGTGTTGCTGCCCCTCAGCTGAGAGATGGACGGGGCCACGCCTGCACAGATGCCAAACTGGCTACCTTAACAAACATTAATGGGGGCTTATCAAACCCGATGTCCCTGGGCTACTCGCACCTAATTACCAGCGAGGGGAAACAACTGGAACTCTCCAATTGGCACAGGGTTTGGGGTGGAGTTAGTGGGTGGAGTAGCGGGGTGGTGAGCACTGGGTTTAAAAATGGTGATGGGAGCACGTATGGTTAGAGCTGACAATATTTCACTGAAACTGCATTGGGTGATTGTTGGAGCGTGCCGAATGGCGCAGAAGGTAAAACTTTACTACAACCTCCACCTTGTTGTCTGGTGTTTCCTTTCCCATCCTGATTCGGAACCTGACACGGAGTTTCAGTTTGTCAAGGATTGGAGGTGATTGCTGGAGGAAGTGAATCTGACATCTGAATGAAGACTTTGGATCTGCCTTTAGAGGAACTGTGAGAATTCTTGGTTAGCCCAGAGGCTTTCTCCAAAGCTAACCCAGAGAGACATATTGGGTGATAAATGTATTTGTTACACTTTAAGACAAGAACATGTTCTTACCTGTCAGCACTATTGGTATTTATATTTAACACTAATCCTTAACCCCCTATATATCCCCACGGTGCTCTCACACCACATATTTACACCAGTTGTGTATTTCGAAGTGTGAAAATTTATTGTGCAAGACAAATGGGTTTTTCTGTGAAGCGCCGGTAATTTCATTAACTTAGGTGAGATAAAAATCTTGATCTAGTGTCACCGTTATTGATTAAAGCCTACAGTTAACTTTGTTTATCAAGAGTTAGTTTTCTAGGGGATACTCTGATATAAATCAGGTTTCATGTTAAAAGAGATTAGATGCCAAATTTACAGTGATGAGCAACTTTTTTAAAAAAAAAATATGCACAGTTATTACGCAAGGGAATGTCAAGTTTCCATGAAAAAGAATGCAAGCTTTTAAAGTCACCCTAAAATTTTCCCATGTGCTGCTGTTCCAGATGAAACTCTGTGGGCAGAGAAATGACCTTTGGGCATGCAACATGGTATATGCAGTACAATGCAGTGAGCCATGTGCAGATCTGTACATTGGGGAAACAAAACAACCACTTCATAAATGCATGGCGCAACATAGGAGAACAAACTGATCAGGACAAGATTCAGCAGTCCATCTGAATTTAAAAGACACAGGCCACTCCTTTGAAGACAACAAAGTCCATATTTTGGACAGAGAGGATCGCTGGTTCAAAGAGGGGTCAAAGAGGCCCTCTATGTCAAACTTGGACGGCCCTCTCTCAACAGAGGGGGAGGGATACGGCATCATCTATCTCTAGTCTACAACACAGTCCTTTCAGCAGTTCCAAGAAGGCTCCACATCCATTTGCACCACTCAGGTGGCCGTGAGGACACAGAGAAACCTCCAAGTGGCCTCAATGACTCTCTAAAAGGATGCAAATGACCAGCTGTCTGCAAGGAGTTTAAAGCTTCCATTCCCCAACCATCCAGTCAGAGCTGAAGAAGCTTCTCAGATGAGAAATGAAACGTCTTCAAAGAAAAACCAGAAAGTCCAGTTGCCTCTTGAAAAAAAAAGCATCTTTGGGACAACCATGACTTGGATGACTGAGAATCTCCGTAGAGCTTTGGGGGTATCGTTGCTTTTCTATTCATCTGAATGCAGAACCGTTTTCCAGCTCCATCCTGTTTGGTACAGAATTATATGAGCGCTACAATCCCTGCAAAACTCTTGTTATTTTCGTAGAGGTTGCATTTTTATATCTGTCCACGGCCATCCAAATGTTTGAAGATTCAATAACTCTATATGGAAGGGCTATTTTGAAAGCTCGACAGACTTCTGTGGAAATTTAGCCTGACTAGGTGGCTCAGTGGCTAAGACACTGAACTTGTTGATCAGAAAGGTTGGCAGTTCAGCGGTTCGAATCCCTAGTATAGGTCTCCTGCGTGAGCAGGGGGTTGGACTAGATGACCTTCAAGGTCCCTTCCAACTCTGTTACTGTTACTGAAATTTGCAAGCTTCTGTGCTTCAGGTCAAGTACTGTAACAAATTGGAAGTTAATTTGTGAGATGATCTAATCTAAGGTCACTAAGTGCACCTTTTCTTTCTTCATTTGGTGACTCTGCTGATGGTGAAAATGACGGTGATGTTTTTGGTAACATGCCTTTTTTTGCATGTCATCATTCGAGAAATTGTAAACCACTAGGAGGAACTGCTTCAAAATCCCTAGTAACGTATGTTGCAGTTTCCAGATTTCTTTGCATTATATGCAGATGATAGAATATAGAATAGCAGAGTTGGAATAGAGAAATATCCATTTCAGACAAAGGGTTATTCAATCTCTTTTTGAAAACCTCCAGCGTTGCTGACGTTTTTTGATTACCCCAAATATGGGGAACTGATCTCATCAAATAATGAACATTATGGGAAAGGTGTTAAAATCAACGAGTCCAACTTGCTATTAGTTCACTAATAAAATATTGCTGGAATACATCAACATTTTAATAATGAAAAACACTGTGTCAATACAATAGCACAACTGTTTTCTGTCTATTCCAAAGGTGCTTTTTCAGGTGTCAACCAAACTTTCTTGTTTTTGTTTTTTTCAAGGAAGTCCAGTTGCCTCCTGAAAAAGCACCTTTGGGATAACCATAATCTGGACGACTGCAGACTATTTTCTATCTAGATTGGGGTGAAATTTATTTACCTTCCCTACCGGTTTGCCCAAGCCGGATAGAACCAGCTAAATTTCACTCCTGATCTAGATAGCAAGGAATTATGAATGTGGGTTATATTACTTCAGTTAAAAACACCAGCTTTAGGCGAAATCCAATTTTTTTTACTACCGGTTCTGTGGACGTGGCTTGGTGGGCATGGGCAGGGGAAGAATACTGCAAAATCACCATTCCCTCCCTACTCCTAGGGGAAGGATACTGCAAAATCTCCATTCCCACCCCACTCTGGGGCCAGCCAGAGGTGGTATTTGCCAGTTCTCCGAACTGCTCAAAATTTCTGCTACCGGTTCTCCGAACTGCTAAAATTTCTGCTACCGGTTCTCCGAACTGCTCAAAATTTCTGTGCTACCGGTTCTCCGAACTGCTCAAAATTTCTGCTACCGGTTCTCCAGAACCTGTCAGAACCTGCTGGATTTCACCCCTGATGAAAATCCATATTGTTTTACCATCAATTATTTTATAAAGTCATCTAATACAATTAAATAACACATATAAATATAACATTGACCAATTCAATGAATGTGCTCTGGTTTATTGTGCAGAAGTGCATGCTCGATGACTGCAATTTCAAGTTCCCTCTAAAATACATTTTTCCGAAAAGACCAGATGGTCTGCCACCCAGCATCTGCCATCTAATTGCTTTAGTTCTTGATATCATAATATTTGAGATATAATGATTGGCTATTGTGAAAATAATTATGATATCAAGCACAGTGATTTATGAGTAAGTGGAAACAAGCAGGAAGAACATTTATCCTTTGTGAAAGCAAGGATAAGCTTTTTTTCTATAGTAACAACTGATCATCCAAGAGGTTTAGGAATAAATGAAACATGAAGTGTGCTCACAATGTTTGATGTAGGAGTATTGCCATGCCGAAGTGATTCTCTATTCTGAAGCTGAAGAAAAAGAACAATAATTTGTGCAATATCAATAAACAAAGTCTTAAATGGTTTGTTTTGAATTTTTCATGATCACTGGTTTTACATGAGATCACTGTACTATAGGGCCTCAGAGTCCAATAGATTAGGTTATTTAAGCTGTAGTATTGGTCAACAGTATTAAGTAACTGGGGGTGCAGATCACTAACAATCTGAACTGGTCTCTCCACATGTCATCTTTATTGAAGCGTGCAAACCAGCATCTGCGTTTCCTCTGTCAGATGAAGAGAGTGTTGTGGTCCGCCAGCAGCCTGTGGAGCTGGCAGTGGAGTCGGATAGTGAGGAGGCTGGGGGAGGATAATGGTCCAGTCCTGGAGTCAGGGGAAGGCCCAGATGAGGGCTCTGCGTCAGAGGCAGAGATGGGGCCAGGGCCATCTGGGAGCGATGTGCAAACTCCGGAGCTTCCAGAGGCGGATAGCAGAGAGGCAGAGGAACAGGAGGAGCCTGTTCCTAGTACACGCATGCAAAGAGCTGCCAGAAGGCAAGAGAAACTAAAGCAAAAAGGACGACTAAGGAGTAAGGCCAGGAGATGATTGGCCCCTCCCAGAAGGCTTAAAAGAGCAGCAACGGCTGCTTGGGATCTTTGTAGGAAAGCAACATTGCTACATTTGTTTCTTGTCAGCATCTCTTACTTCTGAACTTCTTGGGGATTTCTCAAGAAAAGCCTTTGGCAGGGTGCCAAAGTAGACAAAGGTTGGTGGTAACGCTGAAGGCTGAAGGATTATGAAGAATTTGTTTTGGAATTAATTTGGACTAAACTGAGAATGAAGTAATTTTCAGCTGTTGTAATAAAATATTTTTTTTTTACTGATTGTGTCTGTACTTGGACCTAGGTCACAACAGAGAACACATCTTTCTCCTTCTGTCCTGGCCACTTTTTACAGAGACACGATTGAGAGTGTTTTTTTAAAAAAACTGCATCACTTGTTTAGCTTGGTGGCAGCAGCACCTCAGATAGAAAGTCCATACAGAGAGTGGTAAGGACAGTGGAGAAGATTATAGCAAGTTTGCTTCCTGTTATTCAAGATCCTGCTTATAAGCACTATGTGCTTAGCGCTCAAAGCATTGTTAGAGACACCACACACCCACTTCACGATCTGTTTCTGTTGCTCCCCTCTAGGAAGAGGTTTTGAAGTATTTCTAGCAGGACTACCCAATTCTGTAACAGCTTTCTTCCCTGCACCATCCGTCTTGTAAACTCGCAAGCTTTGTTTTTCTCGCCATGGACATGTGTACATCTGAACTAGACTGTGTTGTTTCTCCATGTCATATAATATTATTTATTTATTTATTTATTTATTTATTTATTTATTTATTTATTTATTTATTTATCAACAAGTACAAGGAAACAAGTAACAGTATAGACATAGACATGGACACATGAAAAACATTGGCACAAATAAAAGGATATAAATAGGCAAACCATAGCCATAAACACATAGAATGATTACATATAAATGGGGACAGTAGGATAGGGATGGTAGGCACGCTGGTGCGCCTTATGTACGCCCCCTTAGGGACCTCTTAAGAAACATGAAAGGTCCACGGAAGACAGTTTAAGGTAAAAGGTATGGAGATTAGAGAGACTAACAACAGGATCAGGTAGAGTGTTCCAGACATTTACTACTCCATTGCAGAAGTCATATTTCCTACAATTAAAGCAAATTAGATTGAGTTTGAATCTATTGATAGCACTTGTGTTATTACAGTTGAAATTAAAGTACTCATTTACAGGTAGGACATTTTGGTAAATCTTAAACTAAGCTTAGGTTGGAACGTAGATGGCATAGTTCGAATCTATCCAGAGCTAAAATTTCAAGCCTGGTGGGATAGGGAATTTTATTTCGAGCAGAAGATTTGAGTACTCTTCTAGTAAAATATGTGGGTATATGCATAGTTTCGTATTTATTTATTTATTTATTTATTTATTTATTTATTTATTTATTTATTTATTTTGTCATGTTCCTGTAATGTACATTGGAAGCGGTGACCCTTTGAGAGCTGTCTGCAATGAAATTTCATTTTAATGTATGCCGATTCGTGTGCATTCAAAGTGACAATAAAGCAGTGGTGAAATGTAAAATTTGTTACTACTGGTTCCGTGGGCGTGGCTTTGTGGAGGGGATAAATATGACTGAGTGGGCATGGCCAACTTTTTTTTTTTTTACTTTTAAAACCATTTTTTCTACAACCTCTTCGGCTGAAGAGGTTGTAAAAAATGCTTTTAAAAGCCTCTGACGATCCCAGCTGACTTTCCTGATTGGCAGAGGCTTTGTTTTTACATTTAAAAGATTTTTTTCAGCCAAAGAGGTTGTAGAAAAAATGCTTTTAAAAGTTTTAAAAAAGCCTCTGATGATCGTGCGGCTCAGCAGGGCATGGGGGTGGGGAGGGATTTTTGCTACCGGTTCTCCGAACCACCCGCCTCCATCGCTTCCGGATCAGGCAATCTGGTCCGAACTGGGAGCATTTCACCCCTGCAATAAAGTTAAAGTTATTCTAAGTTATTATTATTCTAAGAGCTACCAATTATGTGTGTAAAAAGTAGTTGCACATAAAATATCCTGTGTACATTTTTTATCAGTGGATAAATCTCACAGATCAGAGTAGGAGCATTAACCTTAAACCACTTCCACTGAACGGAATGGAGCTGGAAATTGTATCATTAAGGCAGAGTGGTGTCCCTTTCAAAAGTGAACAAGGGACAATCATTTCTCTACAGGAAACCTTCAAGAGTATCTTCTAAAAAGAAGTCTTCGCATTGAGCAACATGTGGTCCATCTACTTTGAACCCATATCAGATCAAATCTGATGGAAGAATATTTCTTGTGTAGCAACGTGTTCTATATCGCAACTAGGAATACGCCTTTTTTTCCCCGGAGAAAAAAAAAGTGGAAATCACAGATACAGGTTGCATTCATAATTAAGATGACCTCTTCTGAAATAAGAGCTGTAATTATATTTGAAGTATGTTATATGTTGCAGAGATGAGCATAAAAACTAATGGGGTGTATGGGTCATTAAAGCTTTGGAAAAGGAAGAAGAAAAGATAAAAGAAAATGGATAGTGATGATAGTGGTGGGAGATATTTTAATCTTGACTCATCTCCTGTAATTCACCTCATTCCTTTGATATCTTGGTTAATTACTTAGATGCTTTTTTACATATATAAAAAAACCTCTCCATTTTTTTTTTTTAAATATGGAATCAGTTTTTGTATGAAGACGACATATGAATGTAAACAGAAAAACTTAATTAGATCATTTAGGGCTTGATAAATTTAAGGAAACCTACAACTCAACCATTTAAGTAAAGGTTGGAGAGAGCTAATGTGAGCTGTCTATACAAATTAATTATAAAAATGCTGGTTTTGACCTTCAGCAATGGACACAAACATGAAAGAAAGAAACCTTTGCAACCAATGTGTCATTTTGCTTTGTTAGCTTCTTGGATGCTAGACTTTTTTTTAACCGTAACTTCAAGTGGGAAATGTTTTAGATCATGCCAAATCCAAGACTGTTAGGGAAATCCTGGAAGTCAGGCGTTGTGGCAAATCAGCTATCAACAGACACACAGGGACAAACTCCAACTACATGCCATTGAAAAAATACCACCCAAAGCAAGGAAGGAAATAAATAGCTCAGAGCACATAGCGTATTTTTCGGAGTATAAGACGCACCTTTTTCCCCCTTAAAAGTAGGTGAAAATTTAGGTGTGTCTTATATGTTAATTATGTTATGTTAATTTTATTATAGACTGAATACGGGCATTTTTGGCCTCCCAAACCCTCCGTGCATCACATTTTTGCCCTTCCCGGCCCCCAGAAATACTTTGCAATGCTCCGCATTTTAGATGATGCCAAATCCAAGACTGTTAGGGAAATCCTGGAAGTCTGGCGTTGTGACAAATCAGCTATCAACAGACACACAGGGACAAACTCCATCTACATGCCATTGAAAAAATACCACTCAAAGTGAGGAAGGAAATAAACAGCTCAGAGCATATACCGTATTTTTCGGAGTATAAGACGTACCTTTCCCCCCCCCCAAAAAAAAGTGGGTGAAAATTTAGGTGTGTCTTATAGACTGAATACAGGCATTTTTGGCCTCCCAAACCCTCCGCATGTCACGTTTTCACCCACCCGGGCCCCCAGAAGCGCTCTGCATGGCCTGTTCATAAGGTGACCAACTTTTTTACAATGAGAGGGAGGACACAAATAAATTGAAGAAAAAAATATAAATAAAAGAAACATTTTATTCATTGCAACAATAATACAGAATACACTATAATATTTAATTTAATTTAATTTAATTTCCAATTTATATACCGCCCTTCTCCCTGAGGACTCAGGGCGGTATACAGCCAAAATAAAAACATAGAATACAAATATTAAAAACAGTTAATATATATATATATAAATTTGGCCCAGAATTTAAGAAATCACAAACCGATTAAAAGAATTTAAAAAATTTCTTCTTAAACCAGCCCGGCTTGCTGGAAAAGATGGGTTTTAAGGGCACGACGGAAGGCACTGAGGTCATGGATTCTCCTTATCTCAGGGGGCAACTGATTCCAGAGGGTGGGAGCCCCCACAGAGGGGCTCCTACCCTTTATCACATTATGATAAAGGCATAATAAAAAAACATTTGTAACAATAACATTTTATATTGTAATTATGCTTACATGCCTATTAATTATTATTTAAATCTTCTAACAATATATTGGAAATATCCGAACAAGAAATAGCCTTCATACTGAATTTTACGGCAAGTGCTACAGCTAGAGTATCAACATTCAATCTCGATTCCTCAAAGCCGCAAGAGCGCAGCGCACTCTTGCGCGTGGCACAATTCTCCTGTGCGGAGTGCATGCGTCTCATAATCGCATCTCGACACACTGTACTGAGCCTTGACGAATAGTCATGTCAAATACAAATACGTCACATCACACACAACGGATCA